ATTGGGCAAGTACTGATAAAAATTGGCCTAGAAGGGTATAAGCAAAGAAATCCCATATGTCCCTGAGAATAAATTCTCTCAAACCTTCTTTGATTTCCACATATACAGGACATAGTCTTTGTTGACTTCAACATATATTAACCTCTTCTTACTTTCTCACTAAGGAAGATTAGGTATTAATAATGTTTCTAAGAACTAAAACTGTTTAAACACTAAACAGGTTGCTTTACAACATACTGAAATCCTTGTTGCTAAATGAATGTATAGGATCTTTAAAGGACTATTTACTGGCAATTAATTTCTTTAAATTTCTGGGAAGAAGGAATAAAATGATTACTAAACTTCCTTCTAACTCTAAAGATCCATGAATTCTCCTTTAAGACTTCATGAATTTAAAAATTATCTTTTGGTACTCTGCCAGAATACTATCCATGGGGTTTATGACCTGTAACTGTCTTAGATTTGAGGCTGGAGACCACCCTTTACACTTACAGTGATAAAACCTTAGTGACCTTTATAATAAACATCACCCTGTAGAAGATAATAATAATAGATAATAAAAGCTTAAGTATTGGGGCATTTTTTTCATTTTTTCTTCAATTTAGTCAATATAATTGTTGACAAGAAAAAGTAGTACTTAGTTAAAAAGGAGTATTTTTTAATCAACAGCCCTGAAGCTGCCTGTCTTGGTAGCTATTCTCTCCATATCTTTCAATCAACCTCAGTCTCATTGATTCTCACAGTCACATGGTAGAGCTGAATTTTCCCACCTAGAATAAAACTTGTACACACAATCATAAAATCATAGTATAAAAGATTTAGAGCTGGAAAAAATCCTTTTTTCAAATCCTCAGCTAATTATGTTCCTCAACAAAGCAAGAAATTGTATGTAGAAAACAGTCTTGGAGGTAGGAAACAAAGCTCAATAATATTTGAGGGAATGTGAACCTTGATCCTTCTAACATCTAAGTAGATAAGTTTCAAAACTCTTTATCCATCTTATCCTGATCATTAAGTCTCATATGGAATTGAAAAGGCCCATCTTTCTAAGGTTCTTTTTGATCCTCAAGTGCTTTGAGGTAGATTAAGAAAACTAATGTCTTATAAACAGTCTACTAATTAACTAATAATTGTTCTTTAAATTATCCCACACAGCCTTTTCTTTAATAGCTTACATTGCTCCAATTTTCCTAAAAATGTTTTAAAAAATAAAAGTCACTGAGGCAAAGATGGGTGAGCCCACATGAATCCAATGGAAGGGGTGAGTATAAAGAGAACATCTCAAGAATTCTTTTTCAAATAAACTCTAAGAATGTCATTCACTTTTTAGAATACTCAGGGTCATTCTTACTTTTCAGGTGCACACTATTAAAACAATTGGTTTCGGATATCTCTGTGAGAAGCAGCTTTAGTTGCCTCTTTGGGAATTCATTAGTGATGGTTTGCATGACTTGGGGAAAATAAACTCTGAGGCTTTGTTTCATTGTTGTGTCATTTAATAATCTAGAAAGATACACAGCTATAGTTTTCAGATCTGGAAGCATGCTTTCCCTTGAGAATCACACAATTTTTTTTTATTGGAAAGAATTCTTGCTTATTTCTTTTTTTTAATTAATTAATTAATTTTTAGTTGTCAACATTCACTCCCATAAGTTTTGGAGTTTTAAATTTTCTACCCCTCCCTACCTCCCTCCCCAAGATGGTATGAAATCTGATACAGGCTCTACATATACATTCCTATTAAACATGTTTTTGCATTAGTCATGTTGTAAAGAAGAATTTGAACTAATAGGTGGAATCACAAGAAGGAAGAAACAAAACAAAACAGAAGAAAAAAAGAGCAAATAGTATGCTTCGATCTGCATTCAGACTCCATACTTCTTTCTCTGGATGTGGATAGCATTTTCCATCTTGGAAATGTCTTAGAACCTTGCATTGCTGAAAAGAGCTAAGTCTATCAAAGTTAGTCATCACACATCATGGCTGTTATTGTGTACAACTTTCTTCAGGTTCTGCTCAAACTTCAAACTGCAAAAACTTCAATTTAATGTAATCAAAATAATCCATTTTACATTTCATAATGTTCTCTATCTCTTGTTTAGTCATAAATTCTTCTGTTCTCCACAATCTGATAGGTAAACTATTCCCTGTTCTCCTAATTTGCTTCAGCCTTTATGTCTAAATCAAACCACAGCAAATTTTGCTTTCATCCCTCCTCCTCTCAAATCAGTTTTGCTTTTTATGATATGCCTTGCCATAAGAAAGAGACACTATATGTACAATGAATAACAGAATCTATCCAGAAATGCTAAAGACAGGTTTTGTAGGATATTTTTTTCTAAATGAATCCTAGCAAAGGTATGAAGCTCCACCAACTAGATCTATTTAGAGGGTTCTAGGTCATTTAAAAACAAAGTTGCCTTTGCTGCATATCACTGGTCATTTTAAGTAGAGTCTATAGTGTTACACAGTGTATGACTTCAGAATCAACAAATAAAATCATAGCATTGAATTCTAAAATGTGATATAATGTATCAAGGTACACTTTTAGCTCAGGTATGAATTATACACAATCACTTGGTGGAGAAAAAAAAATTCAGAAATGTTCAGCTCCCTAGGTGATTGAGAAGCTTGGTCTGCTCTGACTCCCTACTGTCTTGCTTTTATGGCTAAGTCATATATATCTTGGTTCCATTATATTAATTGATATAAGACTGGATTTCTGAAGTAGCAGCATGCCTCAAAATTACAACTTTTGCTGGTTAGGCTGCAAAAGAAATGACAAGCTTGTAAGAAGCTGACATTCAAGTTCTCCTATTGGGATTAGGGCTGGGTTAATAAAATTCTGTTGGTGTAGGCAATAGGGAAAGAGGGAATGTTGAAAGAAGGCACCCTCCTTTCACTAAGGTTTTCAAATGAAAATTTTGCCACCTCACTTTACTCAAGCATCCCCTCATTAACTGTAACATGAAACAGCACCAGGTGGGAGGACGATGGGACATTCTCCCATCTTAACAGCAGTGGTCCCTGCCCTGACTTTTCTAATTTATTATCCTAGAACAAGAAATGTAGCCACAGACTTGCAGGTAGAGAGGGATTTTCTTCAATTGCTGAGAATAATCCCTATAGCCCAAGGTGAAGATCAGTATGAACAATTCCTGCAGGTTGAAAGATTTGTGAAACTTTAGGGGACCATAAGATGAACTTATGAGTGGCAAGTCTAAAGGACAGGCAGATATTTATAAAAACTTGAAGGAATCATTGTCTATACCTTTGTAATTACCTGAAAGTTAGCATTAAGTCAAATAGCTAGAATAATACGAAACCAAAAGAAAATGATGAATGTAAAGATTTATGTCCCTTGAGACATCTTCAGGCTATTTTTTAATTAACTTTCAGAGAAGTAACTGAAAACTAAAACAAAAGCCATCATTCGATACCAGGTTATTTCCTTAACCAAAAGGTCTACTGTACTGGAAGAAAGATTGGATTACACAGAATAGCTCACAAAATGTCACATCATCCCTTCTCTACACTGGAGTAATTTTCCTACTTATCTTCCTAGTAACATCTCAAGGATGTACAATTATAAATGCTTCACTTCTTTCCTGTAACATTTCAAGAAAGGAAGAAATGGAGACTACCAACAAGTTCATCCACTACCCACCCCTTTTAAAAGCTTTACCTATTAAAAATACATCAGTTAACACAGTACCAATCCCTCATAGAGTTGACAATGGAGCTGTTAAAATTTCTTTGCTAGATTTTGCATGTTAGGAGACTTCTGCTTTAAGTGATAATGGATGGACTAGCTTTTGCATTCTGGAATCTGCAAACAGATTCTTCCTCAATGGAAATAGACAAAAAAGGAGGTAAGTAGAATAGGTGATTGCCAAATATTTCTGATTTTCTTGGTGAAGTAGAAGGTAGGAATATTTGGAAAACCATAGTAAAAAGTGAAAGAGAAAGAAATTCTAAGGTGTAATAAAAGTCACATGTGTTCAAAGCTCTGAGTCATCTAACCAATGTTTTACTTCTGTAAATGTGTCCAAGGGATATTTTTACCCACCACAGGGCATTACTGTTCTCCATGAGGCAATATCAGGGTATTTAGTATATATATAAACAAAGTGTCTTGGATTCCTCTAATTTCCTGCTAGAGATATTGCCTTGAAACATTCAAAACTTTTACAAGTGCTAGAGTAATATCAAAGTTGGCCTCTATTGCTAATTCTAAAATGGAGTTGTTTCTTTCAAAGTTTCCATCATTTTCCCCTCAACACACCTTGTTTCTTACAAGGAAATTTTCAATGCAGAATACAATTTCCCTTTATTACTTTCTATAAAATTTTGAAAGATAAAATTATCACTAATACAAATTAAGGTATTATTAAAACATTCATTTTTATCAGAAAGAATTCAAGAAAATGTTTGTATTTCTGAAGTCACCATCAGGACAATAGAACTGGGTCATGATAATTATCTATGACTTAACCAAAATAATTTTTAAACAGATTTATCATTTTGGCCTATACTATCTCCTGGAGTAGAAGTCTGAACAAGTTAATAAGTTTTATTTATAGTAGTATAGTAGTTATTTACAGCACTTCTTTTGGCCTGTCCTAAACTACTTTGATTTAGAATGTGGAGGGATTCTAAGACTATCATTATTAAATTAAGCTAGTCCTAAGTCTTCCTAACTACACTCAAAATTTTACTACATTTGATCCTATCTCTAAGAAATCACTTCAAAATTTTAGTGTGTAAGTATAAATATTTATGTCATTCCCTTTATCACTTTAATTGCCCTAGTTTGTACCACTTCAATTATGTCATTTGCAACATCTAGCAAATCTCCTGGAGAGTGTTCTTTGCTTTTACAGATCAGAGTGGAGATGCTCAAGGGCTCAAATGCAAGAGCACTTATTCAGTCCACAGCAGCCTCTGCCCATTCCAAAAGGTTTTGGATCAGCCACCAGCACTTCCAGTATTTGGTAAGCATGTGTGACTACAAGGGCATAATAAAATATCCAGACATTTCGGAAAAGTCTCAGGATTCTGTGGAATGTACTACTCAACCTATGGAAAAGTATATCATAGAGAACAACACAGCAGCCCATATCAAGAAACTTGACAAGAAGTACCACCCCATCTTACACTGCATTATAAGGAAGAACTTTCACATTTGTGTGAAGTATGAGACTCAGCCCTCCATCTATTTCTACCAGGGACAAGTTATCATTCTTCCATCAAAGTCTGATTAGAACATGGACTGTATTGACTACCCATCCATCTAAATAACAAGGACTTCAGTCTAGATTCCAGATGTTAGAGATTGACATTTTTAGTCTTGACATATGGAATACCTCTATCTTTAAGCTTTAATTGTACTGTTGTTGTACAGGTCATCCTATGTTATGCTCATAAAACACTTAGCAAAATAGCTTAAATTTGTTTTTATTTTCTGTTCCACACTCTATCCCATTATCCATACCATTCTAGTTGCCCTTAAAAAACTATTGGAGATGTGTTAAAAAAAAAAGATAGATAAGTGTGGAACCTTATAACACTCTAATTTTCCCAAAAATCTAAAGAAAAGTCTAACAACTAATTCTCACGGATTCACAAATGCCTGAGCTCTCATAAATATATTAATCATTGTAGATTTCTTTGAAGAAAACATCCTGAAGTTGGGATAAGGTGGGAGTAAATACAAGCCAAGGTTAGATAATGTCAAAGATAACCAAATAATGAGGTGAACAAATTTGCTGAGTTTTACAGGTATTAATTGATTTGCCTTTCCTTTGCCACCCCCAGTAGAAATTACAACCACTGCAGCATAAAGACAGTTTATTCATCATCTAGTACAAATACTAACACTATTGTAGTCTGCTATTTCAGGACCACGGTCAGCAACATGACCATAGCCCCTGACCTCTTTTTTGAGATCTAGTGACAAAAATGCATATTGTAATAGATGAAGCATAGATTTTTTTTCAGCACAAGATGCTTACTGCTTTATCCATCAACCATTTATAATGAAGTTCAGATATATACAAAGCAATAAAAACTAGATCTGACATTATAAAAAATGGGCTGAAATCCTAGGTCCACCACATAATGCTTGTCTGAGGTTGTTCAAATCATTGCACTGGAAAATATGAAGCTGGACTAGATGATCTATAAACTCTCTTTTAGCTTTAAATCTAATTAGTCTATGATAATCTATATTGATGCCTTTTCCTGGTTTGTGGCTCATTGGTTCACTTTTTTTAAAATACCATTTTATTTTTTTCCCCTACATGCAACACCTTACTCTCTGTCAGTATGAATAGAAAAAAAATGAAACTAAGTCCTCAAAACTCTTCTAAACTTTAAGATTTTAAGTGGGGGTCAGGTGAGAGGAGACAACGCAAAAGTTTTTGATTTGTTTCATACTTGTGATTTCATCAGTTTTGAGAACTTCCAGTGTATAAACTTTATCCACTAATGCAGATGAGCAATTTGTCTGAAAATTTTAGTCTTAAGAAGCTTGCTTAAATCCTGTGCTAGGTTAAGTGACTTACAGTCATAATTTAGCATATGACATAGATGGAGTATGAACCTGAATATTACTGATATCAAGGCTTGATATTGAGTATATCACATTGACTCTCAAAGTTCACAGAAAGTACATTCATAATTTTATCACATATATTACCCACAATTTCATTTTCTATGGCAGAATTTATATTTGCCCATTTTGAGGATCTGCAAATACCTTTGCCTAATTATATAATCCTACCCATTTCCCCTACCCACCAAAACCAAGGGAAAAATAGAACAGGAAGATAAGACTGGAGCTCTGAGGTAAAAGTTAAATTCTACTTAGTTAACCCGGCCAGAAATCACAGAATTGAAATGGAATGTGGCCCTCATGTAGTCAATCTCCCACAATCTAAAGGTGAGGAAACAGGTCAAGATTGGTGAAGCACCTTATTTTAGGCTAGCAAATGTCAGTGTAGGGACTTGAACTGAGGCCTCTCAATTTAAATTCAGTGTTCTGCTATCTCTGTGACCACCAAGGTCATAAAGACTGATGCTCTATCCTTCATAGAAATATCTGAGATATCATTTAAAATTATTCACACCATGAATCTATTTTGCTACAGAGTCAGCATTGTGCAGTAAAAAGAGACCTGTCTTTGAAGCCAGGAACACCTGGATTTAAGTCCTGCAACTTACATATGTTAGTAATGTCAACCTAGGTATATCACTTAACTTCTCAGGGCTCTCTGCAGCTTTCTGACACTAAGGTGAAGAGAAGAAGCTAACCAGCATTAGTAGAGGGAATTTCTATATCCGGTATGCCCTATACTAATAAAATCAAAGGTCTAGACCCCATCCTTATCCTAAATCTATTTTGCTAATAATTAATTACATGAGTTTATCACAAGGTTTTTAAAACTCTGACTAATAATTATCTGATTTCCATTTCCTTTTTTCCCCGTCCAAGCTCCACAATTACAGTACCACACAGAGAGCTTAGATTTTACTCAATTATAGAACTTGATAGACCATTTCCAATCTGGATTTCAAGGCAGTCAGTCCTCTGGGAACATCTCATTTAAGGTGTTTAACAGTCTGCTAGTGGCCAAGGAAAATAGATCTTTGCTGTCTTGATTTGGCAGGATTAGGTTGTCCTGAACCACCAATAAGTGTATTTTGTCAACTAGTTTTACTTTGTGCATTTTTGTCATTCAAAATTAGAAACAAAGCACTACAGAATATTAGCAAGGAAAGGGCACTAAAAGATTGTTCTTTTCATTTTCCATTCATTTAAGAATAAAGATTTTACTTGGGAATGAGGCTTTTTTTATTTGAAGCTTTAAGTAGTTACATAGGTACAGTTTTTTAAAATGATACATGTTTATAATTTCTCATTACTCTTGGGTGGGTGAGTAGGGGTGAAGAGTAGGAAACTATTAGCAAGGAAGAGTAAACTGATGGAGGAGGGAGGATAAGCCAAAGAGAGAAGACACTTATTTAAAAACCTTACCAAGGGGAAAATGATACTTGGGGTTATCCCTGATTATAAGTGTCACAATCCTGTGGCATAAAACAACAGCCAAAATTGATCAAAGTTTTCTGTTTTCAACTTCTTAAATTATGTATATTTTATTAGTTAAAGAAAAACTCCTTCAATTTAAATAAAATTGGCAAAACACATTGTCTGATGTTAACAAGAAAAGAGGAAAAAAAAATCCACCAACAATTCTTTTCCAAAACTAGGTTGGCATGTTATCTTAGGTAGGAGGAACCAGCCATCTGTGGAACGCTTGGCAGACATTTTTGTCCTGGTGCCCCAGCTCTAGCCATATGGATCTGCTTTAGCCTCACTACAGCTATAATATCTACTTTATATTCATGGATATTTATGTGTGTGTGGATATTTATTTGTACATACACCCACTTATATGTATATGGATATGTATACACATGTATATTTATATGTATGAATGTGTGTTATGCCTGTATGTACATATATATACACACACATACACACATATACATATAAACATAGATGTATATATATATATGTGTGTAAATGTGTGTATGAATTTATACATGTATGTGTGTGTGTGTATGCACACACACACACACCACACACACATTCCAACAAAGGGGTAGAAAATTCCTTTCCCTCTAAGTTCACTGGGAGAAAGTTGGAATTTAAAAAACAATTAGAAACAAAAAAAAAGCCCTATAGTACACTAATAACAGAAAAACAAAAACAACTCATGTCATAAATATGAATATATATGTAGTATATAAATGGATACAGTAAATTTAAGGGAATCTGAATTTAAACAAACTTTTGATGATGTAAGTTGGCATGTCTTACAGAGTAGGTGGGCATAGCACTAGTCCTTTTCTACCATCTTAATTCCATATCAGCTAGATGCTAAAAAAAAAAAAGCCCATAGCTGAGGGGTGGAGGTAGAAAGTTATTCTAATTCTTAATCCAAGGTGGATTTGTGATTGCATTACTTCTGATCTGGCACAATACTCAATTTCTTCTAGAATCTGATTCCCAAGTTTATATCTAGTTATGAGTTCCCCAGGTTAGCTCCTCTGAACTCAAACACTCAAGTTGCAATTTACTAATAGCTGTATCTTCTTGATGTTGGCTACCATTTTATCTTGGAATCCTTCTGAATCAGAGTTATAGCAAAGTTGAAAAAGTGTTGCACGTGTAACTGGATCTGAATTTGAGTCACATTTTTTAGACTTACTAGCTGTATGACCATGGGCAAATGACTTCATGTCTCTGAACCTTAGCTTCTTCATCAGTAAAATGGGAATAATGATACTTACTCTACATAGACTTCACTGTGTTATTCTGAAATTCAGTTATAATAATATATGTGAAATGTTATGTAAAGTCATCATTTTCACCCAACACATTCTAATCCCTCTAACTTAAAGAAATTCCTCTTTAAAGCCCTTGCTCTTAGGATGTCTATTAAATTTACATTTTACTTCAAAGGGATCCTTACAGAGCTTAGATCAATTGTAGGTTGAATGAAAGTTCCTGAGCTCATTAACTGATCATGTCTTCTCTACTTTAGGACATAATTTCCAATCAGTGTATCCATTCCTTCTGTGTATGTGTGTGTGTGTGTGTGTGTGTGTGTGTGTGTGTGTGTGTGTGTGTGTGTGATCCATTACTAAGGATCCCTCAGTGAATACTTGCCCAGCATCATATTTTGCAGTACCAAGAAGTGATGTGATATAGTGCAAAAAATACTTGGCTAAAAGCTAGAACATTTGAGTTTGACTTGTGTGCCTGCAAGATAAAAGCCATGTAGAGTTGGACAGGATGCTTCAGTCAGAGTCTCTGTTTATTCATCTATAAAATGAAGATGGTAATACCTGTCCTTTCTCTACTTACATCATACAGTTGTTGAAGATCAAATGAGTCAACATATGTAAAAGCTTTTTAGAATGTTAAAAGAGCCACATAGGGTATAATGAAAGGTTTAGGGCAATGTTAAGTGTATTGAAGTTGACATAAAGTTTTATTTAAGTTTCTTAAAGCATAAGGCATATAAGAATTTTGGACTACCCTGTATAAATATAAGTTATTATTTGCATGTAGATGGAACTGGATCTGCGATTTCATCTGAATAAAGAATTCTAAGTTCTCCTGTCAATACTAGTCAGCACCTTCTCTCCAACTTCTCTTCTGAGTTGCCTGGAGTACTGAGAAGTTAATGACTTG